ATTGATTGTTTGCCTGAGTCTTCGGCCTTGTCAAAAATGGGCCGTCTCTGGGCTTTGACATTCACTCCTGTCACTTTGTGGCTTTCGAGTTCTGTCAAAGAGGGGCAACTGTAGATACCCCATTTTTGACCGTCCTCAAGACTTGGTTGTGCTTGCAGGTACACCTAACAACTAGTTCGATTGCTCGCCAAGTACTCGACTTTCACGGCGGAACGTCACAGTTCGCCGAGTACTCGACTGCCGCGGCGGAACGTCACAGGTTTGAGCTTTCCAAACCCTGTATCCTTCCTGCCCTTTTTTTGGACCTTGTATTGGCCCTTTCTGCATGCTTTGTGGAAGGCACTGCCGGCCCCTTTTTGGCCCTGCCGGCCATGCCTTTGCTACTGCCGGCCACCACTGATGGCCGCCAGACCCCCTGTCTCAGCAGGTTTCACACCAGATCTTTTGAGCCAACTGGTTTTCACTCCTCTCCTCTCCATACACGTGTATGGAGGGATGAAGCTCTTGCCAAGCTTGTATAACAAGCTTCTTCTTGTATTCTTCTATATAAGGAAGGATCCTTCTTCTATATTAGAGGTTGAAGAAAGTTTTGACGGAGTTGTATCTCTCTCTCTCTCTATATATTTCTCACCCTCTCTCTCTCTATATTGCATAGAATAGTGCTCTAAAGTCCATTTTTCTTGCACTTTTGCACTATAACACATAGAGATACACCACCATCTTTGAGCTGAGGTTCTTGAGGGGGTTACTTGAGCTCTGAAACTTGGTTTTTGGCCCCTGAGATTGCAGGTTTCGAAATTGGTCTTCAAGGGTGAGTTTCTTCCCATTTTTAGCATTTATTTGTACCTTAGTTTGGCCATCGTTGCATATTGTTTTAGGCCTTTATTTCAACTGAAACAAATTCTGTATTTAAGTGGTTTTGAAGTTTGTTTAAGGTCTTTTTGGTGCTAGGGGTGTACAACCCTCTTGTATGCTTTGTTTGGCCTTGTTTTGAGCCATGCTTTAAGGCCTTTGAGCTAGGCTTTGTTTGGCCTTTTAGCCACTGAAATCCAGTTTATTTTTAGTGGTAGGCATATGGTTTTGAGGTCTCAAATCAGAGAGGGTGGCCCATTCTCTTCTTGTTTTGTTTGCTTGTATTATTGGCCTATCAAAGGAGCATGTATCCCTTTACTCTTGAGGCCTGGTTTAGGCACTTTTTTTGTGACTTTTAGGACCTGGCTTGACTCTGTCCATGGTTAGTTTGGTCATATTTTGCATGCTTCTTATATGTGTAGTGTAATCCCATTTGTGGCTCATCAAAGTAGCATGTTTGCCTAGCTTATGTTGAGTCCATTTCAGCATGTTTTGGTGATGTTTTGCCATGACATAACTCTGTGTAAAGTGGGTTTGGTCATCTTTTGCATGCTCCATATACTTGTAGAACAAATCTTGCTTACTAGCTTTTTGTGCATGATGTTTTGACTCATCATTCTAGCATGTTTTGGCTTTGCTCCAACATGATTTTGTTCTTATTTTGGGCTATTTTAGGACTATTTTGGGCTGCCATGGTCATATCACTTATGCTTTGTATAGCTATAGCATAAATGCTTTGGCTAGCCTTGGGTTTTGAGGCCCCTACCATGCCATGCATGTGATGTTTCCATGCTTTTCCATCATTTCGAATGTTATTTCAGTCCATGAAATGTGGTCATACACCTGCATTGCACATGCTTTCAATGCCTTGGAGAGTTTGTGTTTTATGCCTCATGAATGGATCATTGTGCATGCCTCTATGCTTAGGTCCTTAGGTTACCATCTCAGTCGGTTTTTGGGGTTATTATGCCATGATATAACTCTGATTTTTGTTGGTTGAGTCATCCCATGCTTGGTCTTAATAGGTGTAGTGTAATCCACCTTATTTGCCTTGTATGCATCATGCCTCATGCTCACCATGCTAGCTTGTTTGGCTTACTTCCATGCATGTTTTAGTATCACTTTAACATGTTTTAGGACTGTTTTGAGCTTCCTTTGCCATATCCTTCATGCTTTGTATAGCTGTAGTGCAATTGGCCTCGCTAGCTTTGTGTTTTGATGCTTCATGCATGCTATGTTTAAGCTATTTAGATGATTTGGCAACATTTAATGCTTCATTTCAGAGCATGTAGCATTGCCATATTCCCACTTCATTCATGCTTTAAGTGTCTTTGAGTGTTGTGCATTATTGCCTAGTTTATGGCTTAGCTTGTATGCTTGTGTGCCTAGGTATTTGAGTCTTCATCTCAGCATGTTTAAGTCTTTGTTTAGATCTAATTAAGCTCTATCCATGCTTAATTCATGCACTTGTGCCATGTATTGCATGCCCCCCCCCTTTGTGTTACTCTTTGCTAGCTTTCATGCCTTAGGACCCTTGCATGCCATACTTGTGTCGTTTGAATGATTTGGCATCATTTTTTACTTAATTTCAGTGCACTTAGTGTTGTTACACTTGCACATTTGTCACTCCTTAAGCACTCTAGAGAGTTGTGCTCTTAGGCCTCTTCGATGAGCCATTGCATTTTGCATGCTTGTCTTGCATGTTGTTCTATGCTTGCTCCATCTTTACATGTTGTCGCATGCTAGTTCCATTACATGTTGTTGCATGTTTATTACACTGCATTTTGCATGCTTAAGTCATATTGCATGATTGCATGTTCAAGTTAGCATTGTGTATGCCATCCTTGCATTGCATTGTTAATTGGATTAAATGTTAATCCGAGCAGGAGAAACGAGGGATGATTCATACTTCAAGTGATGAGACGTGTCTCAATTCTCGGTCGCCGACGTTCTTGATTATCCATGATAGAGTTCTAGGCACTTATGTGTTTATTTGTGCATTCATTTCACATTGATTTGCACAAGTTGGATCTTTGGCCATCATGCATCGAGATGCGTGATTTATGGTCGTGGATCCAACTATGCCTCCCCCTTGATGTTTTGAGGTGATATGGGGTGGCATAGTGCGTACATACCCTTAGGAGACCCTCCATTTTCTCTATTTTGTGCTCTGCTGCAGTTTGGTGTCACTGCACATCAGTGGCCAGCAGTGCCCTACAAATGGCCGGCACCTCCACATCAGCGGCCGGTAGTGCCCTACAGATGGCCGGCACCTCCTCATCCTTGGTCGGCATGTGGTCGGCAGCATCTCCCCATGGCCGGCAGGCCGCTGATGCATTCCCCATCATGTTTTTGGGCAGGAATTTCTTGAGGACACCCTGCAAACAGAGCCTCTAAAGAGCAATCGGAGAGCTTACCGGGACAGGAACCGAGCATGCATGTTCACCTTTTTCAACTTGCCGAGGCAGCATTGTTTTAATTGCTTACTTGTTAGTTAGAATTTGGTTTCGTAGTTAGTTAATTAATTTGTTAATTAATTAAGTTTTGTAATAATTAGTTGTAGCTAGTTATTCAATTCAGTTGTGTAATAATTAATTAGCTTGTTAATTAGTTAATTAGTTCGCATGTATTATTCATTCGGACCCTCCGTCGAGAGGGGCGAATTTTGTAATAAGTGTATGTGCGTGTGTGCATGTCTTCCAACCCCATTTTTTTTCCCTTTTACTTAACCGCGTACGATGGTTAGTTCCAGGTTATTTTCAATTAGCATCCTTATGCTATGCATGTTTGCATCATTCATTCGTATTGCATGCACTGGGCTCGGCGCATCATACTAGCTGCATCGTATTTCAATTGCAAGTTGAATACATATATCAATTATCGCATCTCATATGCCATCTTAGAATAGCCGAGCCTATTTCTAGTTACATTTTGCATGTGTCACATTAGCCATCTTAACATGAACTAGGATCATGCATTGATTACTAACTAGTTCTTTATTTTGGCTCGGAGTACACTGTAAGTGTTTATGCTTTAGCATCCAGCATGTGTGTGAGTGTTAACATAACAACATGCTTGCCATGTGACTAATTGCTTATGTGATATGACTGCCTGAATGCCTGTGGGTGAAGGTTGGATTACCTGAATTGGAATAATTTATTGAAATCCGTGATTTAGCCCACTTGCGAGTAGCAAACTTCAAACCGTTTTCAAACAAACGAATATGCAATGTTTTGTTCCAAATTAGGCGATCTAGTCTATACTTGTGTGTTGTGCGCATCACATAGTAAGATTAGCTAATTAACCGGAATAAGAACACATGTGTTTTCAAAAACGAGATATCATGTTTAGTACAGGTCGATCTTTGATCGGATGAGCGGGGGTGCTCATAGATGACCTTCCCCAATTGTACCCAAGTTCCCGAGCCGAGGCAACTTTGGTGATGACAGACATGTGGACTTAGGCACGAGTCAGGGTTTCCTAAATTCCCCCCAAAATAAAATATTTAGGTGGCGACTCTATATCTGGCAAAGCAGTCCATGTTTGGCACTTCTTTCTCAAAAATCAGTTTTCCAAAACGATTTGCCGGATTTGCACTCTTTGGTGATTTATCGGCCTTGCATTGCACTTTGTGAGACTAGATTCAGAACCATGACATTTGAGTCCGAATTGTAGCATGAGGCCCTCGGGGCGCGTCTACACTATTGTGTCGAGCTTTGAACGATAATTTCATAGATTCAAAGATTTTAACAGGACATTTCAAAGGCACGAGAGTTTTCCTGCATCGCATTCCATTAAAGGCTCCGGAAAACTTAAAACTTCCATTTGAAATGACTTGCACACAATTTCTAGTTCGCCTTAGTTTTGCTTTGACGATAAATAAATCACAAGGTCAAACAATTCCACATGTGGGAATTTACCTTCCGGATCATGTATTTAGTCATGGACAACTATATGTTGCTTTATCTCGAGGGGTGTCAGATCAGACAACAAAAGTCTTGGTTAAAAAGGGTTCAGTTAATAATGTAGAATGAGCATATACCCGTAATGTAGTCTACAAAGATGTTTTGTTACCAAATTATTGATACATGAGGTATGCACTAAGTATGTTCTTATTGAGCTTATATTATGTCATTTTTTAAATCTACAATTAATATATTTATAATATATCTTCATATAATTATTGATTGTAGGAATACTTGAAAAAATAAAGCTACTTCAGCTTTGGGAGAATTATCAAGAGGAGGCAAATATGGTTGCAGATAAGAAAGTTAAAAATCAGGTATTGGCTTCACTTATGTTCAAAAAATCATGTTTGTAAAATTTTTGAATGAGAATCTGACAATATTCGCATATATTTTGAGTTTGACTATACCTTCTAAATTAATGTAGGTCAAACAGTTCTCTATATATAGTCTTGGATGGAAGGTCTCTATTAAAGTTGAGAAAAAACAATTGGGAAAATTAATTGTGCGAGAGCTTTTGAGGCAACGACAACTTCGGTATGATAATGTATTTGTGGCATTTTATATGAATAATTTCAATATGTTACATTTACTAATAGTTATTGTAATCTTTTTACAGAAATCATATCATATCTAATAGAGCAAGTATATGCAGCGAAGACAATATGGACATATATGTGGTAAAAAATCATGTCGTATGAACTTTACTGCTGTGCTGCATATATTCATATTTGTGAATTTACAAATTAATTTTAGATTTTATAAATTTGTCAAACAATCAACTTACAAGGAAGTGAGATATTTTTCCTCAGTTTTATAGGCAACAATGATACAAAAATTGAAAGCTTACAAATATATGTGCAACGTTGTTACAAGGTGTTAGTAATGGGCGCCCATGTGGCATGACCATTTAAATTTAAATTTGATCCTTATCCAAATAGGTTTTGAATTTGAATTCAAACCTATTTAGGATAACCACTCAAGATACAGATGTTATCAGTTTTAACTGATATGGATAGATATTATAATATATTATATATCTGATATATGGTTATGGGTAATCCAAGTGAGAAACAACGTATAGTCTGTTTCTACCCATATACTGACTCTCTCCCAAAAACACAACGATCAAGTCTTTGCACTGTGATTTTGTGTGGGTGATATTCAATCTGTGATATCACTCCACTGCTGGGTTGATTTATCAGTTTTCTGGAAGCACGTGATTTATCCAAGAAGGTTCTATCATCAAGAAGGTATGATCTGATTATTTTATCCGCTGCATATTCTGTGTTTTTAGTTTACACAAGGTAATCTACTTATAGGTTTCTATGTATAACAAAAGTTACGTACTTCATTTTTTGTCAATTCCATCTTATTTTTTGTAATTTAATGTTGTCATAGATCTATGGCAAAAATTGCATCAAAACAATTTGAAGAGATTATTGAACGTGAAATTTGATATGGACTATGTCAATTTATGTCAATATGTAAGTTTTTAATTTTTTTATTTTATTTATAAAAAATTAACAAAATAATTACCTTTTGTATCTGTATACATAATAAGCCAATTATAAAACCAATGTTATTATTGTAGTCTATTAGTTAAAATATGCATATGTATAATTATGACTCACTTTAAAAACGTAAAATTTTAATTTAATCAATATATATTATTAGCAAACTAATTTTTACATATATCTATTTTTTTTTTTTTTTTTGCAGGATCTCTGGTCTCATGTTACCAAATTTAGATTTCATATGAAGTTTTATTGTACAGGTTTTTTTAGTTAAGATTTTTTAAACGATGTGTACATATTTTAATGTGCATATATTTTATCTATCAAATATATTAATATTGCATTTTTCATTGTACATAATTATTCATATGATTTACATGTATATTATTAGAAAAAATAATATCAAATTTATATCATAATTCTAAACGAATTTGCACACGCACCGTATATGCCCGGCCGCTAGTATATATATATATATATTTTATTTCAATTTAGAATTTTTCTTAGTATGGTCGCGGATTCGGATGTTGTTTAGAGATGAATTGATATCAATTTCTAAATTTGTTTAATTACATTATCATTATGATTATAATTATTTTGTGGTGGATCATTCTATTTAAACTTGTGAAAACAAATTAAATTACTTTTCAATTTTAATCTTGTGAAAGCCGCTTGGTAAGTTTTGAGTTTTAATTATTAAATCTGAACATAAATTTAATATTTTTAATTCCTATTTAATTATGTTAATAGCGAGAGCCACCTTTAGTCTATTCAAATTATTTTATATTCCAATCTCAATCAGTGAAGTATTTTAAATTATTAAGGTTTGTTTTAAGAAGAAAAAAATACTAATTTATTGACTTATTTGAATCACATTATCTCTCTACTTTTTGTATTTTTTTTTTAAAAAAAAAAATCAAAAAATGCCAATAAGATGGCTTTTTTTACTTCTCAAAACAAGCCAAAATTTCATTTATTTTGGACCCAATTTACTAAATTATAACTCATTTGTAACCACTTATTATTGTTGTTGTAATTATTATCAATATTATTTCTTTTATTACCATGAGAATGTTACAAATATTTATAATTTATAATATTAAAGACATATATTTAATAGGAAGAAAAATATACGTTTTGTCACTTATACTACAAAATGTTTTAGTGTTATTAAAATATATTTTTAAATGATATATATATATATATATATATATATAATATAGGGTTAATTACAAGATAAATTTTAGAATTTTGTAAGTTTTTCAATTTAAATCCTAGAATTTCAATTTCGACAAATTAAACTCTAAAATTTCGTCAGTGTTTCAATTTGAGTTTTAATTATTAAATCTGAACATAAATTTAATATTTTTAATTCCTATTGAATTAATTAACTTGTTCACATTTAATTATGTTAATAGCCCGAGCCACCTTTAGTCTATTCAAATTATTTTATATTCCAATCTCAATTGGTAAATTATTTTAAATTATTAAGGTTTGTTTTAAGAAGAAAAAAAACTAAGTGATTGGCTTATTTGGATCACATTACTTCTCTATTTTTAATTTTTTTTTTTTTATGTTTTTTCAAAAAAAAAAAAATAAAAAAATGCAAAAAAGATGATTGTTTTTCCTTTTTTACTTCGCAAAACAAGCCAAAGTTTCATTTATTTTGGACCCAATTTACTAAATTATAACTCTTTTGTAACCACTTATTATTATTGTTGTTATTATTATCAATATTATTTCTTTTATTACCATGAGAATGTTACAAATATTTATAATATATGATATTAAAGACATATATTTTATAGTGAGAAAAATTATATGTTTTGTCACTTACACTACAAAATGTTTTAGTGTTATTAAAATATATTTTTAAATGATATATATAGAGAGATAGAGAGATATTTATATATATAATATAGGGTAATTACAAAAAAAATTCTAGAGTTTCGCATGTTTTTCAATTTAAATTCCAAAATTTCAATTTCGACAAATTAAACTTTAGAGTTTCATCTGTGCTTCAATCTTGCCCCTCCGTCCATCTCCGTCATATTAAATTAATGGACATCTAGGCAGAATTTTAGATATAAACCCACATGTTCAAACACTTGTATCTCTCCATCGTCGTAACTCCATTTCGCCTTATTTTTGCGCTGTTGGATTCACCTCATGGCCTAGTTTTCATTCCACTCTTCATACTATTTTTACTTTTCGTTGAAGCTCCGAAAGTTGGCCAAAAATGAAAATTTTCTCTCTTTAAGCAAAATTTTCATATTCAAATCCACATATTCAAGCACTTCTATCACCCTCATCGTAACTCTGTTTAGCCTCATTTTGTGTGTTGTTGGATTCACCTCATGGCCTAGTTTTCATTCCACTCTTCATACGCCTTGTTCCACATCTTTTTACTTGCCGTCGGAGCTCGAAAAATTGGACAAAAATACTGGAATGAAAATGGAAGCATATTAAAATAGATTTCAGTCTACCTCGTTCTTCTAAAGGTATGGACTCTATCTGGGTTATTGTCGATCATTTGACTAAGTTTGCTCACTTTGTACTTGTCAAAACATTTTATAATGCGGATAAATTGGCTATTATCTATATTGATAAGATTGTGAGATTGTATGGGGTGCCAATATCTATTGAGTCTGACAGAGATTCCAAATTTACCTCGAGATTCTGGCAAAGTTTGCAACAAGTCTTGGGAGCTGAATTGAGACTCCATAGTGCATATCACCCACAGACTGATGGCCAATTAGAAAGAACTATTCAAATGTTATAGGATATGTTATGAATGTGTGTGTTGGATTTCCAAGGAAATTAGGAAACCTATTTGTCTTTAGCCGAGTTTGTATACAACAATAGCTATCATTCGAGTAACGGTATGACTCCATATGAAGCTCTTTATGGAAGGAATTGTGCAAAAGACGACTGAGAAAGTAAAGTCAATTCATGAATGGTTGAAAACCGCACAAAGTCACTAGAAAAGTTATGCAGATGTTAGAAGAAAAGACTGAGAATATGAAGTAGGTGACCATGTGTTTATCAAAGTGACTTTCATGAAGGGTTAGACACGGTTTGGAGTCAAGGGTAAGTTGGCACCACGGTACATTGGTCCGTATGAAATCATTGAGAAAATCAATTCGGTGACATATCATGTAGGCTTACCTCCAGTTGTGGAGAACATGCATAATGTCTTTCATGTTTCGAAGTTTCAGGACTATTTGCAGGATCCATTACATGTGATTGAGCTGACACACGTGCTTTTGAAAGATGACTTCACTTACGAAGAATGACCAATACAAATTTTGAACTGCTAGATCAAAATATTGAGAAACAAAGAAATCCCATTAGTGAAAGTTTATTGGCAATAATAGGGAGGGACATATGCAACTTGCGAAACTGAAGAAGTTATGATGAAAAAATATCCAAACTTGTTTTCATTGGACTCTATATTCTTTCGAAATGAAAGCACTTTAAGTTTAGGAGGACCAAACTCTTTAAGGGAGGAAGATTGTAACAACCCCGATCCGTAATTAGCCCATAATCTGTAATTAAGGATGTTAATCAAGTTTAAGGAAGAGATTATGTGTTAATAGTGCAGTTTATATGTGATTTGCATTCCTATCTGTTAGTCGTAGAAACATCTATTTAGAATTCTATTTTGTTCTATTAATTGAAGGCCTTATCAGCATTCGAACATGAAATTGACTACATCAATGCGTTAATTTGGACTTTTAGAATTGTATGCTAAGTTAAATTGGATTTTGATTCAGATCCAAATAATTAGAATCAATTAAGTAAAACTGAGTGGGCTTAATTACACTTAAACACAATTAATTAACCTAAGCTAATTGGACCTATATAGGCCAATATAACTTCTAGAACACAATCTCATCACCATTTTGAGCTCAAAAATGTGTAAGAGAAGGAAGAGTGAGGAAGAGAGTTCAAATCAAGTAGAAAAGAGGAGATTAAAGAGAAAGATTAAGGAATTGGCTTGGAAACTCATGGAATTTGCTACATAGAGTCCAACTAATGATTTTAGGTAAGAATTTAACTCATAAACTAAGTATTTAAGACATCAAATGTGGGAATTCAAGTGAATTAAGAGACTAGCACAAGAAATAAGTTAAGAATGTAGAATTTGAGATCATCATAAGCTTGCATGCATAATCCATGAAGTTTGAGCTTGAATTCCACCTCATATCTCATATGCATGGAGCTATGTTTGTTAAATTTTGAGAAATCGACATGATTTTGTACTAAACATCTCATTTGTTCATGATTCAAAGAGTTTGAACTCACAACAATGCATTCATGTGTTATGCATTAAGTTTAAGGTTTGGTTTTGAAGAATTGACATGCTTTTGGGCCTTGATTTTGGGAAATGATCTTCAATTCATGACGTGGTATAAGTTTTCAAGTGTTTCCTCAAGTTTTGGCCCAAAAGAATGAGTTTTGATGTGTTAAAGTCGAGTTTTGAACTTAGAACACAAATCTGGAAATTCCAGAGTTTACAGAGTTAGCTTGAGCGTATGAACCGTCGCTCGAGCGTACATTTTGAGCTCTCAGAAGTTTTGCAGAGTTTCATGGTTGGCTCGAGCGACCAAAAGTTGCGCTCGACCGAATTGCCCTGTTTTTTGAATTTTTACAAGTGTTTTCAAAGTACATTTTTGTATCCTCATTTCTTCTAAAGTATTCTTAAGACATGTTTTAGGCTACATTAATAACGAAATGAATTAGAAATACACCGAGAAAGTGATAAGCTAAAGTGTTACCGAGCTTGTGTTTCAATGTGTATCTGTCATGTGTTTGTGTAGGTCATGCACCATAGTCCATATGATCTGTTTGATTCGTCTGGTTTGCTTCTGGAGCTATCTGTAAGTAAAAACTCTGTAAAGTTATGTTTGACTTTAAGTATTTTCTGAACAATACGATATAATCTGTTTTTTGAAATGCTATTTTATGAATCATAAATGATTGTCCAGCTCTCTGAAATGTATTCGTGGCATCCTTAGCATCATGTGATATCTGTCATCTGTTATTTAGTACTAGGGTTTCACACGGGTTCCATTTATGGAACTGGTTATGCATAATCGCTTATTTGCTCTGCATATGGGTCTTTATGACCATCTGCCCTGTATATGTCTGCTTCGTATATGGGTCTTTATGACCAATTTGATCTATAAGCACTAATAGATGTACTATGTATGACTATCTGTAAATTATGAATGCGAATGTAAATCGGTTTTTGATCTGAACTCTAATTTCTGAATCTGTATGGACATCAT